GAAGGCTGCACTGCGGCTGAAATCATGTCCCCAACCAAACATTGCTTGTTGCCAGTGACTTGTTTCAGTAAAGTTATTACTATTACTGTGGCATTATTTAGGGGAAATAAATACATGCCACTCACAGCAATGCATATCAAACTGGAGCTACGTGAGCCAGTTGCAAAAGGAAAAAGATCTAATTGCTGAAAAGCATGGCTGTCATACTGTAGCCAGCGAACAATAAACAACAAAGCTCGCCAAAAGTGGTCATTTAATTTCTCAAATAACGTGCACACTGGATGGATAATTCTTCCAAGAATAAGTCATTAGGATTAATTTCAGCTACTCTTGACACTCTAATGCCCCCCCCCCCATCCTCAGCCCTTCACTATCCGCTCAGTCTCCTTCAAATGCACTACATACCCACACAGCCTCATGGGGAACCTAAAGGACAGCCTCTCTTGCTATATGAAATAAAATGTGCTGCAGAAGAGGTGGGGGAGAAGAAAGGCAGAGACAGCAATACCATCAGGTAGGAAATACTGTGTAGACTGTAGCTACGCTAACTGATGGCTCCTTGGAGTCAGAGCTAAGCGTAAAAGAGAGAAGAGGAGGAGGGAAAGAAAGTTACAAGGGGAGAGGGGCAGCACCTAAGGCAGTAGTTAGGTTTATTGATAGGTCCTAAGAGAGATGGAAAGGTGAAAGGAAAGGAAAAAGGTGGGTTGCTTGGAAGCAATGTATTCTTGTGGGCGAGGCAGCGTCGGACTGCTTTAATATCCTTATATCATGGCTTATCTAATGCATAAAGCTTACTTCTGTCATTACCAGAATATGCCCAATTGACTTGCTGACTTATGTGTTATTGTGCATGGCATCGTGTGTGTGCAATTTGTGTGCGTGGATGTGTGTGTCTGACCCGTAGCCCCTCTGTGGCAGACACTCCAAGATTTCATAACAGAGGCTGAGCTGGTCGTCTCTCTCACAGCTGTAGATGCACTCCAAAGCGACCTCCATCAGCTGGTCTGGGTCCCCGATAATCTTCTGCTGCCACTGGAGGAGAGAAGAATAAGAGTCAGTATGTGCATATCAATGTGTGATTGACCCCGTAATTTATTTGTACCTACACACTGAAGCATTGCATCAATTTACGCATTTTCTTCCTCTGGAGTGTTTGTGTGTGTGTGGTTCATGGCTTCTAATGGCCCAGAGACCTGTCCTTGGCTGCGTCCTTATGGGGTCATAAATACAGCATTTACAGCGCAGGGGCAACAACATCGGCCTTGACATCACACAAACAGCCAGAGCTGCAATGTCTACGTGGATGTGCTTTCATTTTCCTGTCTCTCCATTTATGGTTACCCAAGTGTGACGCCGACTACACTTGTGCATTGTGTGTGTGTATGTATACGGATACTTGCATCAGGTTTGGAGTGCTTGAAAATGATGAGGGGCAGGGTGAGGTCTTCCTGGGCCAGGCTGACCAGGTATTCTCTGAGCAGAGATTTAGCAGCACCCTCTTTCTGTCCCTCACAGCGATGCAGGAATGGCACCATCCACTGGAAGGAGTCTTTCACGTAGTGCTCGGTGCTGGACTGATAACAGAAACACATTAAAGATACTTAAAGATGCAATTCAGGCAGGATACTAAAAATGTAACCTAGTGTGTTGAATAGATAATTCACTTAAAGTAAGTAGTAGGGATGGGTACCGGTATCCGG